TCGAACGGGTGGAATGGTTGACCCAGATCCAACTCTGAATACTTTCTCCAACACGGAGACGTCTATGCGAAGTCGAGAATGACCGGTAAGTGAACTGAGTCAAAGCATCATCAGGAATGGTCCTAAATACAGTAAATCAGGCCTTACTTCATTGCAGTTCATCTCACGTGTGTGTTTAAACGACAGGAGGTGGAAATAGGCATGAAGACGCGCGAGTGGAGGATATAATGAGAGGAGATTCCTCATTCATTATGAACAATTAGTTTGTTTGCAATGGAATGCAGGCACCTCCAATGAAGTCTCGAATTTGCACACACTCGCAGGCAGGCCTACCAGTGCTGTGATTGGTTCCATCAATGCACACGCGTATCAGGCTGCGACTCTAGTGGTTGAGAGCTGAGCCAATCTGCGCGGCACGTTTGCGTGATCTGATTGAATGGAGGGTGGGTGGGAGGGACTAGCTCGCGTGGCCGCAAAACTGACACGCAGGTGGGCTGTCTGATTTGCTGACATACAAGAGAGCGCGTTCAGAGGCACTCGCCAACATTCCTAACTTTACGGTGAAGGAGATGTTCGTCCACTCACCAAAGCCGCGTGAAAGTGCATCGAGGCGTAGATACCACTCACACACTAATTCGCAGCAGGCGATCGAGTTAAGGAGAGTAAGTAATTCAACACATCTGGTTTCCGTGCTTTCTGAGTTTGTCAAGTGAGCGCTTACTACGAAACGCCGCATCTTTGCATTAGGTAAAGAAGCAGAAAGTGGAACGTGCAAGACGAGCGCGGATTTCGGATAAGATGGTGGAACTGCACGGACTCGCCCTCTCCATGGTTGGACAAGAGGTAAGTTGCCCATCAATTTATTGCTTTGTCATGATGAGGACACGTCTGTTCTGTGGTGCTTGACCACGTGGGCCAATTGGGTAGGCGATGTTGGTGCCTCGGTTACTGGGTCGATAGGATACGTAGTAGTAGGTAGGGTAGTAGTGGGGTATAACAAGTGCAACACAATGCTCTGAGTGGACAAGTGAACCGGGTGATTATGTGTGCGTTGCAGGCGGAAAGCAGTGTTCGTATGGAGAAGGCAGAGATGTTGAACTTCTGTTGCGAAGTGTTGAGTGGTCTGCGCAAGCTGCTGGAGGAGAATCCGGAAGTGAAGGCTCGATTGCAAGCGAGTCACAGTGGTGGCAGTGCAACAACCACTGCTGTCCGCCACGGCTTCGTTTCCTTTCTCATCTCCGACTCCATCTCCGATTCTGCTTCCACCTCTGCCTCTGCCTCCGCCTTCACCGCTACCACAACCACCACCTCC